TAACGAAGTGAAACGGCTTTCTTTTTATCCCTTGCATATCTGATGCCGCCACCAGCGGCAGCAGGCAGCGTCGTCGACTTTTAGATGCAGCGCTTGTATTGGCAGTTTTTCAAGTTTTTCCTCTCCCCCGCTCTCGCTTGCTCTGTATCTGGGATTTAGGTTTGTTCTATGCAGAGAGGTCAATAAATACCGGAAGCGGAAGGCCTCTTTTTTGGTTCTCCCCCTCCCCCCCGAAAAAAAAGTAAAACGGCGTTGTACAGGATTACCCGAGTCAAGTCGTTACGACTTTTGACTCGGCTCCAGGATAAATATCATTTGCGCACGCGCTCATTTTGCACGAATCCTTTTCCGTTTAGCTTGCAATCAATGCGCGCGTGGACATTTTGCAAGAAGCTTCGCGGGCGCGCGCGTGTATGTGCGCGTGTGCGCGCAAGCGCGAGCAATATAACGTCAAGAGTCCACGAAAGAAAATTTATACGCTAGTTTTATTGCCTCCCCCACTCGTAAAGTTCGTTCAGACACGACAGCATAAAGTAAAATATTGTTGAATTCGTTGTTGGCTTTCTCTCTCGTTCTCTCCCTCGGCATTGTCTGCGCGCAACTACAAAAAAATTGTACAGTAGTAACGGCCAATGCATTCCGATTACTCAATTTTGAAATTGTTTGCGCATACGCGACGTTCCGATGCATTTTTCTACCCTGTGTTTATACAACGCCTGAGCCGCATCAAACTGAATTTACGTATGACTCCACGAAGAATAACAAAAAAGAAATGGAAAATAAAAGAATAGAAAAAAGGAAAACGCGTGCGTGCCTCTTCGACATTTTACAGCCGCCGTACGCGCGACGTCGCTGCTGCTGTCGTCCCTGTCGAATTGAATATTTATATTGATTTTATTTTTTACCTGCTGTTTGTCCTAAACGATAAAGAGAATTTTATACGACTGATACGACTTACAAAATCGTTAATCAAAGTTTCTTTTTTCGCAAAATAGTCGTAATTTCCCAGAAATTTAATCACGCGTGAGCATTCAGTCAATAAAAAAAGGAGAAAAAACCGATCTCAAAGCTACATAATATCATTTAGCTTTTTTCTACTCCGTATATGCCACTGAAAGCTCACAAAAAGTAATAATCTAAAAAACGTAAAAGCAATGCAGTCACTCTCATATTCCTCTATCTACAAAAAAGAGAGATAGCAGAAGTCAGAGAGGGTTTAGTTGCGCGACATAGAGAAAAAGAGAGAGAGAGAGGTAGCGCAGCATAACATATGTTTGGCATAATGCGACATAGGTAAATGGGGCCTAAATGATGTAAGAGGGCCGATGCCGACGCTCGCGTCGGGATGAGTGCCTCCTAAAGCGCTTTCACTCGGGGCAACTGCGAATAGAGAGAGAAAGCCAAACTTCGTCAGTCGTTCGTAAAGCACCGCTTGTCTCTCTCTCTCTCTCTCTCTCTCTCTCTCTCGAAAGCTCTCACACGCGAGAGACAACCTATAAACTCTTATTTTGCTTTCTTTTTTCTCTCTGACGCTCTCCAATAAAAGTCGATATACGCCGCGCGCGCGACGGATTGTCACAAAGGTAAAAAGACTTTTTTTTCGGTAGAGAGTGGTAGGTGCCCGGAAATAGGTCAGTGGACTCTCTTTCGTGTTTAGAAAAGAAGAAGAGAGAGAAAGGGGTGCAAGTCTCATTGTTACGAGGGGGCTTGTACACTTCGTTGTAGTTTCTCTCTCTTTCTCTCGAGAGCGAGAGGACAGCAGAAGGGGAAAAGGCCGCACGTCGCCAGCAGACTTGCGGTATGAGCGCGCTCGTGCGATAATTTTATGCACTACTACTATGCGTCCAGCGCTGATGAGAAAAATAGCGAGAGAAGGCATCCGTGCGCGTCGGTCGTTCGGTCATTGGCCTTCCCCCCCCGTGAGCATGTCCAGCGCAGTATTGCTCTCTTGAAAAGCTTTTAGCGGCGATATCTCTGGCGGATAAACATTTTCAACCCGAATAAACATTTCAGTCAACGGTGACTTGGAAAGCGGATATTCCTTTTAAAATGCAGCCGCGAGGATCATTTCAATTTCTTCTTTTTTTGAAGCTGACATTACCTGAACTCATATACTTGGGAAATGCTTTACATGACATGACATAGGAGAAAGAGAGAGAGAGAGAGAGAGAGAGAGAGAGAGAGAGAGAGAGAGAACTGTCTCGAGTTTCTATCAGTATGCTACTTGTTACTTACTGATTAAGTTTGGGTTCTGCCGTGGCTTCGATTGTAGTGTCTGTCGAGGATTTGAATGCGGTGAACAAGTTATTCTAATAATAGTTCGAGGACTGTCGGTTAGATGGTGCATTGCGTTGTATCGCCGAAATGCCAAGCGAACTATTTTTGTTTGAATTTCTTATTCTACTCGGTAACACATTGTCAACATAAAAACCATTTCTGCAGCTTTATTATCGAAACATTATTGTTATACTCCTATAACGACTAACTATAGGTAATTAATCAAAAAAGAAATATAAAAATTTGCAAGTTGTACACAACGACGCACATAGCAATCTCGTATCGAGAAATAAGGTCAATCGAGTAATTCGCAGTGTATGAAAATCGTCGCCAATCAAAAAATCTTCGCTCGTTAAGCCGCGCAAAAGATAACGTTGATACCGGCCATTACAACAAACCGTCAACATTCCAGAGCGGATGAAAAATCGTAGCTAAATTGATAGTGACGTGCCCGCCGCGTCAGCCAATAGAAAGCCGTGCGAGTGATAAATTGCCGCGTTCCCCATGCGCCTCTGTAAGTCGTTTTATTAAATGACAATTACACTTCGTTACGTCACTTGTGTCTTCGAATTCTCGAAAGCTTCGGAGAAGCTTATTCCAAAAGGCTTATGTACTTTTTGGCTGTTGTTCATACGTCAAATGTGTCGTTTTACGACCCAATAAACGCTGCAAGCAAAAGTCGAGGTTAAATGAAAGAATGCAACGCACTAACGGCAATGCCTCATCGTTTTGCAATTACTGTCGAATGCGCATGTAATCTAATTAAAGAGAGAATGAGAGAGAGAGAGAGCGCACGCGCAAGCTTCAAAGTGCCTCCTTGACTTGGCAAATGAAAGTTGTGCTTAATATTGATTAATTGCAGGGAATGAAACATTCCCGTTGTGCACAGCAGCTAGCTTGTGCTGTATATTCGAACGAGATTACTACAGTGCTCGATTCATAAAAACAGTTGGTGCGTTTTTCGGTATCACGCGTAAAAGACAACAATGGAAAATAATGAGGCTGCACAAGCGAATTCATGACTTTCCGGCGAAGCGAGTGCGTGTAGGTGTGTCGATTATTTACGCCACAGCGGAGATAATTAATTTCTATCTCATCGTCATAATGCAAAGAGAGAGAGAGAGAGAGAGAGAGAGAGAGAGAGAGAGTCGGCGCATTTGTATAAAACGGAGCGGTCTTTTGTATAATTTTAATCAGAAATGAAGCTCTCATTGAAACACTAAAAAATAAAAGACTATAGGACAGCGCGTTTGTAGACGGCTAATTGACTCCGCGTCGTTTAACAGAAAAAAAAGGAAAAGGAAAAAGCGCAGTGCAATGCATCGGGAACGTCTACTCTCAGCCGTATAAGTTAATTAATAAACCCTGTGATTTTTGTTAAAGATTAGAACTTTTAGTCTCCGTTGAATATATACATATTCGGATCAATTGAAGTGTAAATATTTACACGACCATTTGTCGATTGCATGAATTTATGAATGAAGCGAAAGAGCGACTAACGGCGTGTTTGCTTTGTATAATATATATATACACACGTAGTAGGAGACAAGCCCGAGGCGGAGCAAAGTAAAACTGTCCCTTTATCGGCATGTGTTGTCTTGCCTTATTATCGATATTCTCCTTGACTGGATGGATTATTGATTTTCTTATCTAACGACTTTTCCACTTTAACGGCGTGCGTATATCTGCTTACGGAGGTACAGATATTCGTATTTTTTTTTCTTTATTTATCCTTAGAAATTATATTGTTCGATTGATTGTGGTGTCAAATATAGTGACAAATATCTAGTTGTCAAATATATCATCGCTCATTAAAAATAAAAAAAGATACTACGAAAATAGAATGTTTATTACGTCGCTCTATGGACTGGTAAATCTATGCAACCACGTGCTGCGCACGCGCATGAGTCTGTACATTTTTGGTGCGCTGAATAGAAGGTAAGGTGACCATTAATTCCCTGAAAATTGCTTTCCTCCAAAGAATTTAGTAATCGGTCATAAAGACATTTTTACTCTTAATCGAAGGATTAACGCTTGTCTGCGTATGTATTTCATCGAAATTACCATCGAGAAACAAAACTGAAAAAGACAATCAAATGCCTCGTCAATCGAACAAATATTTTTTCGGACAGATCAATTTTACAGTCTGCACTCCGCTGCAACTGGCAATTGCTTTTTCTCATCAACGCAATTTGGTTCCATCGTACCAGTTTAAGATAAAAAAAGCATCCGCGAAGTATAAAGTGAAATAGAAGCTTGCAATTTAAAACCACAGGGATTTGTGCGGGAGAAAAGAAAAGAACCTTGAAAAGTAGAAAGACGCAGTTTGTAGTCGCGTCTTGGCCCCGAAATCAGGCCAGAGATGAAAAATTAAGCCATCCCTATCCCAAGACATACCGTAATCTCGGCATGATCCATTCCGAGAAAAAGGAGCGCACACCTTTTGCTCGCTAACCCAAAGAGAGAAAGAGAATGTGTGAGAGAGAGAGAGAGAGAGAGAGAGAGAGACAAACAGAGAGAGAAAAATCCAGCGCGGATGAAACGGAGTTCGCGGGGGTAGGCAAGGCCACGCGACTTTCGGCGAAGTTACAGCTACAATGGATCGAGCTAGAGCCCCCACGGTGAGTGGAAACCGCATGGTGTATTCAAGAGGCGCGGGTACGCCTATATATTTGGACAACAACGCAGCGGCACGACGTGCTCGGCGAGTGAAAGATACTCACGGCTGGCTGCGGTGGTGGGCAGGCCACTGGCGATGAGCAGCAGCGGCAACGCCAGCAGCAGACTGACGACGACCAGCAGGCTACGCCCCATCCTTTAGCTGCTGCTGCTGCTCGACGTCGGCGACCTTGATCGTTGCTTCTGCTCATCCGACATAGTCCCTCGCTGCTTCCGAATATCACTGTATACTCGCCGACTTGCGCCAACACTCGCGCACTTTGCGGTGGCTTAGGCGCACCGCTGCCTGCGACCGGCTCTTCTCGCGACGACGCGCTCCTGTGCCCTCTCGTCTTCCATCATCGGCTGCGCATTGTTCGGGAGCACTTTTCGATTTCGAAGTGGGCAGATTGCCGAGGCGAGCGTTCGAGAACTCGGGAGAGATGCGCGTTAGCGACGCCCGTTAAAACGTCATCATCATCTGGCGCCGCTGCACGCGCCTCCACGTGGTACATTAATCATCGTCTCGCAGCAAATCGATTCCAACTCGTTTACACAGACCTCCCCTCGACTGTATGTCACGTGTTTACAATAGCCACACACGCGTCCACGCGCACACTCACTCACTCACTCGAACATTTTTTTCTCTCTCTCTCTCTCTCTCTCGCTCTCTTTCTCTCTCTCTCTCTCTCTCTCTTCCTTTCACAGCGAGAGAATCCCCGTGCGCCGTGGCACACGGATTCCCACGGAACGTCGCTTGCGTACGCGACCCCTTTTTTTCGTTGCAGAGCAGTACAAAAAATTTTCGGCCGTGGGGTCAGGGAGGAGAGTCGCGGAGTAGCGATCGCGGTGCGTCGAACGCTCGACCAAAGGGAGAAAGCCGCTTCAACACTCGCGCCGACGGCGGGGTAAAAAAAAGGAAAGGCGCGCGACGACGAAGCGGCCCGTGGCGATGTGGCTCGACTCGCGGCGTGAACTGCTGCCGACTGGTGTGTACCGCACCATCGCCGCCGCCGCCGCCGCCGCCGCCTGCACAGCGCCAGCGCACCAGCATCCGCGCATCCTCCCCTCTTCTCGCTGCTCCCCCGGCGAATATCTTACTTGCCTTTTCTTCCCCGCTCTTCCGCCAAAGCCTCTCTCTAACGATATACATAAAGCCCGCGATGGGGCTTACGTGTTCTTCTTCCGCCCTTCCTTCCCTTTGCTCCGGTTTTTCGCGCGAAAAGGGGTTGCGCGATTGGATTTTTGACTTTTCTTGCGAGAGGGAGCTTATTGGGTTTTTCTATTTGAACGAGGTAGTTTTCTCGACAGCGCGAGCAATATTTCTTTCTCGCTCCATGCCAAGTTCGATGAGCAGCTCTGCGACGTGCGTCAAAGTTGACTTTGGTTTAATTAGGTCAGCGATCTTAAGAGTTAATTACAGAGATTCGTTGCCTCTCTCTCCCGCCGAGTTACGTAATACGCAGCAAAAGTGCAGTTGGGATTTCAATTCGAACAGTTTCAAATTTGCGCGCCTTTCTAATTGTACTGGCGAAAAATATTATTGTGCTTGAACACACAAGCTATTTCAGCGAAGCGAAGAATTACTTGCGCAATGTTGGGGTAAACGCGAGGCAATTTGTCTTGTAAAGAACGAACTCTTCCAGCAATACTCCGCGCTCCTTGGTGCGCAGCTGAAAACGTTCTATGATTTTCATGGGCAAGAATTACGAAAAGAAAGGCCAAGAATAAACGAAGCTTCACGATCAAATTAACATGCGCCAATTTTTACAAAATTAATTGTGAAACGTCGGCTGCGTCGATCAGTGCGAGGTACCGAGGACAGCGTTCGTTAATTCCGCGATAATCACGTCACTTTCAACTACAAAGCGTCGCGAATAACTGCGGCAAAGTTGTTAAAGTTGAATCGCGCGTTATAAGCAAATATAGCAACATAGCGCAGCGCCACTCGCGCGCGAGGAAGTCCATGCGCCGTCCGAAAATCGCCAGGTCCAATTAAAACGCAATTAAACTTACGACTCAGCGCAAGCAAAGTCAAACGTCGTCGCTCTAAGAAACATTAAGGAATCACCGCGGAATGGATTTACGATCGCGCGCAGACAATTCGCCCGAAAATTTAACTGCTTGCCCACCAGGGTACACTTCAAAAGTTGCTCTCTCTCTCTCTCTCTCTTTCTCTCCTTCTCTCCTTATCCTATTTCTCGGAGGGGCGCGTTTATTTTACGAGCGCGCGGATATTTTGATGCCGACAACTCGCTCGCCTATCTTTATGCCCTTCGCACGCACCCGGAATGACGCCCAGTGTTTTCGCTCGGTTTGAACCCCCCTCTCGCGAACGCGTGTTCCATCCCTCTCGCTTGGCTACAAATTATACTATATGTCGCGGCAGCCTCGTTGCCGTTAACGATCCTCGCGGCTTTTTCGCGCTGATTTTTATTGCCGTGCCGTAAGCAAAATGTTTTGCTAGGGACTCGTAGGCGCTGCGAAGTTCTTGCGTCGAGATAAAAACTAGTTCGAGAAAAGAAAACGGCAAAGTTTTTGGATGATAACTTTTCAATCTGCGATACGCCCAATTGATAGGCTCTCGAGCTTTCAAGGCCCTTTTTCTCGATTTTTGTTAGGTAGAAGTCAAAACACTATCCTCGTTTCGTTTTTCTTTTCATTTTCTAGCACGATAAGTTTATAAGATCTTTTTTTTTCTTCTTTTTACAATTCCATTGTTTGAATTTTATTACATGAAAACGATTGGATCTTTTAGTTTGCGAAAAAAAAGTTTAACACAACTTCGCAAGGAAGTAGAAATATGATGTTTCTGAACGTAAATCGAAAGATAAGGTGTACCGTGGATCGGAAAATTATGTAGTCACATTTTATCGATAGAACTTGTTTATAAAGTTTATTAGAATAGATTGTCGTTGAAAATTGTCAACGGCAGTAAAGCAATATATCGTTGTTAAACTTGTTCACTAAGAAGTATCAGTATGCAAATGTAAAAATTGAATCCAAGTCATATTCGCGCAACAGTTTCGTTGGTGAAAAACGCATCTGCTAGGAGAATACAGGTTTTACTTTTTCGACAACATAAATTTTCAATAAAGTTTTAAAAAAACCTTTTCCCCAGAGCTGCGGAAAAAAATCTTCCTCCAGATTATGAAAAAAAGCTGAAGTTAGAGGGAGAGAATGAGAGAGAGAGAGAGAGAGAGATGCTCTTTTTCGCTCTCACTTTGCGAGATAAATTCATAAGGATTTATCGCCGACTATTTCGACATTTTTAAGTACACCGCAGGACGCGCGCTGGAATGATATATGAAATACGCAACGCAGCTGGACCCGACATTTGAGGCATAGAGGAAAAGAGCGAAGCCGCCGCAGGGATCAGACATTGCTCTTTCTCTCTCTCTCTCTCTCTCTCTCTCTCTCTCGTCGTATAAAAAAAAGGAAGGAAAGAGGAGAGCACAACTTTTTCCTCTCTTCTTAGACTTCGATCGGTGTGCTTGCGCTTAGCTCGGGGCAGAAAAAAAAAGTTGGCGCGACTCGCGTTTTACGAGCCGATATAAACAAGCTTTCGCTCGCGCCTGGATTTTATGCGAGAGAAAGAGAGAGAGAGAGAAAAAAGGACAGAGAAGAAGCAACATCGGAGTCCGATACGCGAAGAAGACGAAACTAGATTGAATCGCTGAATTAGGAAGTATCTGCTTTTAAGGCTTTCGGATCGACTGCGAATGTTTGCCCGCCACCCGCTGCTACTACTGCTGTCCAAATTGGATCAAGTTTCCACGGGGATGGACTGAGTTTGACAATACTTTCTTCTTTTTTTTTTTCAATAGACGCAGACGAATAGAGTTTCGTCGCTATTTTTGTTTGCAATTGGCATTTGTTTGCAAATTTAAATGCAGTGTCACGCTCTATCGATACCAACTCTACTTTAATCGACGCCGTTTTCGTTTGATTAAGTATTGTCATTCTTTAGACGAGTATACTAGGCTTTGTTCGGTTTTTCACGTTTCAAAGTTGCCTCAAGTTTTTTTCCAATATTAACGTCAAAATAGCATGTCGCCATGATTTTTATTTTTGTTTCGGATGTTCATAATTAATCGATAACTTCACTCCATTCGTACTTTCGTTTGTATGATCTATAGAGGATATTAAATTGAGTTATGAAATATTTTGAACTTTATTAAATCGTCGTTATTCCAATCCATCAAATGAAATGAACATATCAGCCAAATTAAATTTTAGTTCACGAAAATCATATAACGAAATGGTACGTTTTTTTGCTTTACAAAAATAATTACGAATTCATTTTCCATTAACTTGAAATCCCGACAGTTACGCAGGAAACCGCGAGAGAGAGAGAGAGAGAGAGAGAGAGAGAGAGAGAGAGAGAGAGAGAGAGAGAAATATAATTATCTTTGATTTTTCAATGATATCAATATTGATTCGCATATAAAAGAACCAATAATGACGCTTCTACTAATTTGCTGTGAGAATGGTACAATATATGTTTGATTAATTTGAATAACTTCATATCGATCTTTTTTTTGTAAACTATTTCGATTGACCTTATTTCTAGAGACATAAAAGATCCTTTTGCTAAATTAAACTTCACGTCATATTTCATATACCAACTAAAAAAACATCGCTGACTACAATACATTTCAAGTTCTGTAATTAACAGTCCCAAAATCAAAAATGGTCCAAGAGAAGTTTTGCTCTCCCGTGCGTTATTAACATCTTCGCGAGTTTTCACGTTAAATATATATAGATACGTATACGTACAGTAGTACGAGAGCGACCTTATATATCACAGCTAATATTTCTTCGCATAGTGGCAGTCTGAAATTGAGTACTTTATAAGGAGGCGGAGACGTTAATAACTCGCCGATGCCAAAAGCGCGAGAGAGAGAGTTCGCGCATACTTCTTTGAGTGGATCCTTGATTGTCACACCCCTTCGGCGCAAACGTTATTCAAGGATGCATCATTAAATTCATGCTGCGATGTGTGTATGCGTCTCGAGACATTCGAGAGTAAATTATTCCACTCGAGATGCATTTAATCGCGTTCCCTTTCGCAAGTAGACAAATCATAATGCGTCCATAAAAATTGCGCGGGAACACCGTAACCGCAACGGCAACCAACGGGAAACAAGACGAAAATCACAAGCTCGAACGCACGGCGAGAGGAGGATAAGCGAGAGAAAAAAAAGCAGGTCAACAAGGACTTACCTATCTGGAACACGTGTGCGTGGATGCGAAAAAGTCGTGCGTAGGCTACAAAGATGGTATTTCCGCTTTTGATGCGCGCGCGTAACGAGCGGCTGATGGTAGGTTTTAAGGGCTGATTCGTGATTAGAGCGAGGGTCTCTCTCTCTCTCTCTCTCTCTCTCTCTCTCTCTCTCTTCGGGAAAACTCTTAATTCGCCCGCGGCCTATACATACATACATACATACACATCACACGCGACGGGGGGTAACTATGGCAACGGTCCGACGCATCCTCTCATGCTAAATCCCTACGTATACCCGCGACCTTTGTACACTTCCGTCTATACATCTGCCGCCCGTCGCTGCCCCGTCGAAAGAGAATCTCGATTATTGTACTTTTTTCTTTTTCGTTTATTTATTTTACTTTATTTTTTGCGAAAGCGACTTTACTTGCAGCCAGACAACAGGAGCATCCTATTTTTTCGGCTTGCAGTGGGAATCAAAGTAGACTTGATTTTCTGCTAAGAATCGTGGATTGTCGTATCGCGGAATTCTTGTGACGCGGCCGTAGGATTGAGGAGCGGATGAGTTAGAAGTAAATCGACGAGTTTAAGTAAATAGTTTTATTTCAACAGACTGAACTGCTCGTCTTCGGTACAAAATCAGAACTGCTCGCTTAAGGGAACGCAGCCCTTATATACCCGTTTGAGGGCGTCTATTAGGAGAAAGTGACGCAGGCACTTTCTACAATTAGAGGTGATGCT